CGAAATTATGGTCAAATTGACAAAGAGACGTTGGCCTTAGTTATGGGAGTCAAATGATTTGATGCATACCTGTATGGGCAACACTTTACCTTGGTCACCGACCACAAACCCCTACTGGGAATAATTTCAGGACCAAGCCAACACCTCTTATCGTTTCTCCTCGAATGACAAGGTAGACAGTATTTTTAGCTGCTTACAATTACACATTAACTGACACCTGGCCCACCCTGACGCTCTCAGTAGATGCCCTCTACCCATTGCAACTGAAGACCCAACTCCTGCTTACTCTGTTTTACTAATTGAGATACCAAACCCTCTAAATGCAAAAGATGTAGCCCTACATTCAGCCAAGGATAAAATCATATCAAGGGTATTGGACTGGACTAAGAGTGGCCTTCTGAACCAGTGGGGCCTGAATTCAAGCCATACAAGGAAAGGCAACTTGAATTGTCTGCAATGAAAGGGTGTTTGCTATGGGGACAAAGGGTTGTAATTCCTGCTGGACTGAGACATTCAATCCTAACATCACTACACGAAAGCCACCCAGGGATAGTCAGGATAAAGTCCCTGACCAGAAGTTACCTGTGGTGGCCAAAATTGGATCAAAATATCAGTGACTGGGTGTCAGGGTGTACTGACTGCCAAGAATCAAGGCCAAACCCCCCAAGAGCGCCCCCAACAGAATGGGACAAACCAAAGGCACCATGGTCTCGAATCCACATAGATTTTTCTTGGCCTTTCCAAGGACGCATGTTCTTAATTGTGGTTGATGCCTATTCAAAGTGGGTGGAGGTCAAACTGATGCCATCTACCACTTCTGAAGCGACGGAAACCCTTTTTGCTACCCATGGTATACCAGATGTCCTGGTCTCAGACAATGGTCCCCAATTGGTGTCTGGGTCTTTTGAACTACTCCTTGCAGAACAGGGCATCAAACACTCCCTCACAGCCCCATTTTTCCCAGCTACCAATGGCAGGGCTGAGAGAGCTGTCCGATCTGTGAAAGACACTTTGGAAAGAATGGGGCCAGGGAACTGGAACTCTTAAGATTGCTACATACCTCCTGATACAACATGCTACCCCTTGTCCAGAGACAACCAAAACCTAGCAGAACTTTCAATGGGAAGGTGAATAAAAACCAAATTAGACAAACTACATCCAACATATTCCCCAGACACTGCAAACAGTCACACCTCAGGACTCAGAACTTTCAAAACGGGACCACATATATGCACGAAATTATTCAGGAAGTCCCCTATGGCTCCCAGGCACAGTGACCCAAGTACTAGGCCCCAGGTCTTACATAGTTACCCTGGGGGATGGAAGAATATGGAGGAGACACATTGATCAAATTAGGGGAAGATATCACGAGCAAACCAACTTAGGCACCCCTATTAACCCATCCAACCAGCCAGATAAAGGGTTTCTTGCACATCCAACTACTGAGACGAGGTCGGAAGTCGAGGACTTACATGCCACCCGACGCAAGAGCAACTTACCAGGTCTTCAGGACTTTATTCCAGCGATGAATCCTCCTCTAGCTGATGAAGAACCTACTTGCACTTCTTCAGACCCTTCTTCGGTGAGAACTGGGGCTGCTATACAGTTGTATGAACCCCCGTTTCAGGTTTTTATCTATGTATTTCCTCATCTGTTCTAACTTTTTAGGGGTCATTGAATACATTTTGGGCTTCAGTAAATGGGCCCCCTGGAGTATCTGTATCATACAGTCCATGGGATGGTGGGGAGGAAGTATATCACACTCCTTTTCGCTAAACGCTTTATTCACGTCCCTGTATATGGCAGGGAAAGCCATTGGTTCACCTGTTGGCTTAGCCCTCTCCATAGCATCCCTTCCTGATCCGCCTTCTCCCAGGGTATGGGTCAGGGGTGGGTTCTACTTAGCTTTACTACCGGTTCGCAACAGGATCACGAACAGGTAGTAAAGTTCATTCAAAATCCTATATATAATGTAGCCATTCCAGTTCTCTATTTCTGTAGGATTACCAAGCCCAAACCATATTTTAAGGGATTTTCAAAAGTGAAGAGTTAGAACTGCCAGCCTCCCACCTCCTCAAAAGAATGGCAGCTATTCCAGAATCGTCCCCGAACTTCTACACTGGGCATGCAAGTGGATCGGAAATAGCTTTGTTTGGAGAATTGCAGTGATTTCTTTTTATGGTTTGCCTTGTCTTGGCATGATGGGTGAACTAGCCATTATTTCTTCAGCAAAACATATCTAAACCATGGATCAGGATAAGCTATTATCACAGTCCATACATTGTCCCATGTCTTTTTCTTAAGTGTCCCAAAGATTTCCTACTAATACAACATTTTAAAGTTGCATTCTTTAACTTCCTTTTCAGTAACAAAATTATATTTATAACAGTTACATTATAAATTGTTTGCAAAAAAACCCTACAAAAATCTTACTATAAGATACGTGTTGGGACAATTATCAGCAGAAACAAAACTTACAAACGAAGTACTGTTCAGCTGTTCCATATCTCATGGAAGGTCATTGGACTTACTTCAGGCTCACACTTCTAAAGAGTCATGGCTTTTAGGCTGCTGTTTACTTGTGTTGCTTTGCTGACTTTAACAACTATGAAAAGCCAATAAATAAATAAATAAACATGACATATTCATGATTCACATTATTGACAGGAAAGTGATATTTTACTCATATGTTTGAAACAATTTAATTCTTATGCTGTCACATCACTTTAATTGCATTTTATTGGTTACCAATACATCAGACTTTGGCACAGAAACAAACTGAGGGATTTTGGGCTATACCTGGGAGGGATGTTGGGAAAAAACAAAGCCTCTATACTTCCAGCAAGGTCACCTAAGGCATGATGATCATCTCAGCTGCTCAATGAAAGCAAGTGGGAAGCTACAGATATTTGTTACACAAGTGTGCTCTCAGGCTCAGGTTATGGTTACTCGCACACACTCAGAGCCCTGGAAAATTGCCACACTCAAACCATTTTCAACTGAATGCTGAGGCACAAATGGTTCTTTAAAATACAGAGACACCCAGTGAATTTAAAATAACAGCAGACTTTTACTGATTATAAACAGTGGTGGGATTCAAATAATTTAACAACTATTTCTCTGCCCTAATGATCGGCTAGGTAGACATGGCTGGGTGGTCATATGACTGGCTGGGCGTGGCCAACTCAACATCACTCACATAGAGGGGGGCCTCGCCTGGCCTCTTGCCACACCCACCCCTCCCAGCTATTCCTCACCTGGCCTAAGAAGGTAAAGTTGATGCTGCTGGAGAACATCCTATTGGGAACAGACAGCTAGTCATAGCTGGGTTCCTAATCGCAGCTGATTACATGTTAGGCTAAACTCAAAAAAGTTGGGAAACCAGCCGCTTTGGCTTAGAGGGCTGCACCGCCCCGCAATCCGGCTGCTTTGGAGATTGCGCATTAGTATGTCCGCATCCCATGCGCTCTTTCTCCCACTTTTGCATAAAGAAATGAAAATCGATTTTGCGCTCCAGGGCACCGCCAAGCTCTGTCGGGTGTGGCTCCCTCGGGTGTTGCAATGCAGGCAGAATGCGGCTGCAGAGGAGGAAGCAGACTTTGGCTGCTTCGAACTGTGGAAAAGGAGACTGGTCGCTCCACTCCACTATAGTTGAGAAATATGAATAAAATAACATTAGATTTTATTCATCATTTCAGTAAAGCAAAGGAGTATTTTTTTATTTAATATACCAACATTACAAGTTTTACTGTACCTTTCAGATGATAAACCTAATGCTGACATAAAGAGGCATGGAGGAGGAGGTGGAAGAGAAGACAAGAGTAAAATTTTGTTCATTTCAATTCTAATAAAGGCATAGTATGATGCTAAGTAAAGTAGGTTTAGCCATATATATATAGTTTTCAATGTGCTGCCTAGGCTCATGTCATCAGAGATGAAGTATTTCATTTAACTAGTTAAAGCAATTCTTACCAAAATCTCATTTTTTAATAAAACTGAGTGTAATGTGCAAAAAAGAATAGAAGTGGGAAGAACAAGAAGTTTTGCACAACATACAATCAAAACACCCCAGGTAATTTTTTCAACATTCATCTCTGATTGTATGCTGAAAATAAGATTCATAAGTAATTAGCTTAGATACGCGGACTGTATCAATTTTAATACACTCCTCGTGTCTAATTATAATCTCCTGGTTTTCCTACATTCCACTTTTCCAATAATGTCTTTTTTTATATCTAGATATTTTGATCACTAAAATCTTCCTCATTGTACAGTTGTGTAGCTTGCCTTTGTGAAGGTTTGTAAAATGCTGGCATTACACAGAAAGATCCTATCCATTTTCCCAGAGCTGGGCTGAAGCAAGAAGTCATTGGTAAAAAGTCATAGGGCTCCCAGCTGGACAAACTAGATTGTGTCAGGACATTAAACCTAGATGGTTTAAATTATTATCTTTTCCAGCAAATAACAAACTCCCAAAGAACTGAAGTGTGAAGTCTCTAATTGCTGGATAACAATTGAAGACTCTGAATATTAATGAATTTCCTTGTAAAATAGAATTTTAAAGTTCTTGTGTCCTAGTTTTGTATGTGCAAAATTGATGTTCCTACTTGAGGAGATTTTCTGTTAATTTCAATATCAGATAAATCTTGCTGACGTGAGGATGGTTCCTGTAGAAAATGGTCCCTACTGCATGCTGAAGTAACTCAGCTTTAAAATCCTATTTTCCTTTTTTTATTTTGTAAACCAGTGTAGAATTTTCTTTCACAAAAAACTGTCAAGACCATTACAAATCCTTAAACAGATTATTCCTCCTCCTCCTCCTCCTCTTGGGCGCCTCTTTCTCCCCCCACCCTACTCCAGCAGCCTTCAACGATTGGTGCTTTGCAAGTCCCTGGCCTTTTAAGGGCTGCCAACCGGTCAATCTAAAGTGACAAGCAAGTGAAGACCCTCGCAACAGATACTGTCACAAACCAATCGTCTCTTGGTTCATCTCTTCTGGAAATACCCGACAGCCAATGAACGGGCAGGGGAAGGACAAGGGACCAGCTGAACTTAGAAGAAGTGGAGATGCCCTGGCGATTCTCTCTGCTTGCCAAACTGCTGCAGAGTCGCTAACGCTGGTTTTCTTGTGTGCACTGGACGCTGCAGCCACGCTGATTCTGGCGCCAAGTTTCTAGTGCTGTTGCCAAAATGGTGATTAAAGTATTTGTGGCAACGTCCTCAGGGTCGACGGCGGTAAGAATATCTATGTGATTTATGCTTCTCTGCAGAAGTCTTCGGAAGCTAGTTGCTTGCTTTCTTGCTGTTTAAGGAAGGGGTGTGATGCTGCTCCGCGGACTGAGCCCATGACAAAAAAAAAAGTGCCCCAAACTCTTTTCTCTCCCTCCCCCTCCCCCTCTCCCTCTCTGCTTTCAGATTTTCCAAGCGTGCAGCTTTATTAGTCTTGTTGTTGCAATTGAAGTTAATGCCCATAACGTGGGAGAAATATTGTCTTTCTACATGCCAGAAATTAGTCGATTCACCATGTAGCGAAAATACAAATTATTTATTTCATACAGATGGAAAATGTACAACATGTTAGTGCTTTATTTTCAACAACCTTGATAAGGACTGCTTAAACTAGTATGCTAATTATATGTTTAAAGGAGAATAACAGTCTTGATTGATTACATTAGTGCAGAAAACACTTTCTCTTAATAGAAATATGCAGTGGATATATTAGAGGTTTCTTTCTACAGCTGTACACATATCTCCACTTTCTTTTAAGGTTATTTTAAGCTTTCCTATCTCAATATCCTGTATCTTAATGCTGGTATCTGTTTTCAGAACCATTATGTTTGCTGAAATGAAGAAAGACTAGGCAAAGGGAAGGTGGGAACTGGGAATGAACAGTTTCCTTTTATATCCAATTCCCACATGAGCTCAAATTGCAGTCTTGGCTGAGCAATCAGTCACAGTGACATATCTAAACAAACTGGCTGCAGTCGGTACATAACTGATTTCATTGCTTGCTGGCTTTCATGAAGACAACCTCAAGAAGCTTCCAGAGAAGAATGGTTGGCAAGCCATAATTAAATAAGTTTGGCTGGTGTTTTTTTCTAGCCTGAGATCCACCAAGTAAATAACGGCAGTAGCCTGTGAGAAAATTGTCTATCTCATGGTGTGCTCAGGGGTGTGTGTGAATGTGTGAAGGGGGAATCCCCCTTTCTTCCTCTGCAGTAGGATCTTGTCCCTTTGGTGCTATTCTTAACTTCACCCAGCCTCCTACTAGCTCAAAAAGCTGTGACCAAGGGAATCTGTAAAGCAAGGACTTTGGGCAAAAATACAAGCACTACTGGAGGAAGAAAAGGACTGTGTGCTATGAGAGAGGGGACGGGAGGGAGCTTGCACCTGGACAACTGTCTCCTGTTTCCTGAACAGTCCAGCTGTGTTAGAAGAAAGGTCCTTTACTCTAGCCAAGCTAGAGTCCTTTCAGACTTAAGGTGTTGAAGCAGTGAGTGGGTTCCATAGATAAAAATAGAGGGCTGCTTATCTCCAGGGTGTTTGTCTCTGTGTGTGTCTGTCTGTCTGTCCCTGGAGCTCTTGTGCGCACCCCAAGCAACCATAGTTGGATAGGATGTGGAGCACCGTATCAATAGTTCTGCCAGGATCCCCATATGGGAGGTTGCTACAAGCATGGGATGACAAAAATTGCCTCAGCAAAGTGTATACAAAACTATCGTGGAGTGAATGGACCTGGTTCAGATATGTAGCAGTCAGTCAGATATGGCAAAATAAAGGTACTTTCAAAAGAAAAAAAGAGAACGCTGATCTTTTCCCACATCTGTGTATTTTGCAATAATTGAGCAATGGATATGTTGAGATTTTTTTGCCTTTGAAAATAAAGTTAATGGGAAAAAAGGGTTACTTATATAGTTGATTGCAGAATTGCTAAGCTTTCTTTACAGGGACCTTTGAACAGGGACCAAACTCAGATCTAAGATGAAATTGACTTGTCTCTAAACCTAAGAGCTCTGATTTTTTTTCTGTGTATGTATGTGTATTAAAGTCTTTGTGTGTCCTTGAGGTGAAAAAATAATGAAAATACTGCAGAGAAACTGATGAAGCTTTTATGCAGCTGTCAGATATCTTTAATCACCAGAGACAAGTTCACACACACACACACACACACACACACACACACACATAAAATCTTCACCCCTTTTTGCCTGGACAGTAAAACAGGTGAAGAGAGCCAAGCTCCCTTTTCTCTCTGCTTTTAAGAACAGCCCAAATCTGTCAGGAGGGAATGTTCTAAATTCATTTAAAAGTAAAGTTTTATTTTGGATTGTATGTTTGTTTTAGCTAAGTGTATTGTGAGTGGATTTTGTCTGTCTGTAAACCATTAGGTATGCCTATCCACAGATCCCTACTTATTTCTGTCCTTAAGCCTATTTGTGCATGTCTTCTCCTGTTAACTCATTTCGGTATACAAGCAGAAAATAATACCTTTAAGCCTTGGACTTCCCAAATTTTGTGTGCAAACTATTCACCCCACCCCATTCCACTTCTCCATCTCTTCTCCTGAGTTTCTGTTCTTTATCTCCTACCCAATTGCTCTACAAATTTCTATTGAACTAAATGATAATAGAATCTAACCGTAGCTAAAGGAACAACTTTGCTGCAATTAAACTTGCATTTGAATTGGGGGGAAAATAGCCAATTATAAAGAATGGGAAAACTTGATGTTTGCAATGAAAAGACTAAACTCTTTCAATAACAAATAACAAATTTATTTTCTTCATGCTCTAGGACAGGGGTCTCCAACCTTGGCAACTTTAAGACTTGTGGACTTCAACTCCCAGAATTCCACAGCCTGCTCTAGGAGGGGAGACATTTGGGCATTTTCAGTTACTTTATAAGCCATCTTCCCTGTAAGGTGATGAACCTAATAAATTTGATCTCAAAGGGTCTCTTGTATTTTAAGCAATTTGGAGTAGAGGGCTGAAGCTTTCCTTTCAATGTGCATTCTCCTGTGCTTGCTCATTTTCACCTGCAGATTATCGTAGAACTGAAGTAAGGATGCAAAGGGGATGGGAAAGTGGGGAAGGGGCTACAGAGACACACCCTCTTCTTCTATGCTGAGTTCTGGAACATGAGGCTGATTGGGATCATATCCTCCTGATATTCTGTATGTTTGTAGGCAATTCCTTAATAATTTTTTGCTAAGGTATGCTTGATTTTAAAAGTATATGCTTTGTTTGTGGGAAAGATGATTGATAGCTATGTAAATGGGATATTGATAGGAAATGGACAGATTGTATAGTGTGTAATGTGTGTGTGTTTCAAAATCTGAATGATTTCTCTTTTGCATTCTGGTTCTAGCCAAAGGATCAAATATATAAAGCTTAACATGCTTCTGCTTAATATAATTTAAGATCTAATAAAGCATGTGCATTTGGAACTACTTGCTACTACAAAAAGGGGTGACAAGTTATTGTTAAGTGTGGGTACTAAATCTGCTGTCCTTTTCCTTGGAGCAAAGGAAAAGAAGGCAAAGGGTTTTTGTTTTTTTTTGTTTAAACAGAGATAGTTTAGTGTAGTGGTTAAGGCACTGGTCTGGAAAGTAAAGGAGATTGTGAGTTTAGGTCCTGCCTTGTCTATGTGGTCAGGCTGGATGACTTTGAGTCAGTCATTCTCTCTTACTCCAGGGAAGAGACACTGGCAAGCCACTTGGAAAGGGTTGCCAGGAAGATAGATTCAGCAGCATAAATTTGATTTTTTTCAGGAAATTGTTATGTAAATTTTCCTTTAATCTTCAGAAGACAAGGGTTTTGTATTAGTATTTTTTTTCTTGCCAAACATGATGAGACTAGGGAAAGGCAGGGACATTCATTTGACTCCCCACCTATTCTTACCTGCTGTGATTTACATTCCAGTTTAAGGCTGGCCTTTGAAATGCATAACTCTTACTTGTGTCTTTTATCTTCTGTGTGCTTTACCTTTAAAAGCCTAGATGGGTCATGAGAACAAGTTTATTGGATTTCCTCCCTGTTCCTTAACATGGCATCTGATAGGGGTGAAAGGGGGGAGAGGGGGAAAACAGTAAAGCTTGGAACATTTGGAAAGGTATAGTCAATCTGAAACAAGATTTTCTTTCTTTCATTCATTTCTTCAACTTTTGGCTCTGGAAGCAATGCATGTGCTTAAGGGATATATTCCTATGTATATTCTCCCAGCTCTGCAAGATCTGATCCTAGTTAATTAGTAAGGAAATGGGAAAGTATAAAAATCCTTTTCAGCTGAAGGGAGTGTGAATGTGATGGTCAATCCAGCTTTGCCTCAGGATTATTTTAATCTATTTTGCAATCATGTTAACCTCTTCTGATTTATTGCCTCTAAAAATCAGCCTAGCAACCTCATCATAAGCAATGGACCCTCCCCATAAAAAGAATGAAGGTGACCAACTGAGATTTATTCAGCCTCTGCATTTACAAACCAGACTATCTTTTCACAGATATTCTGGTTACTTTATCAACAGGAAAAATAGAAATGTGGACTCATCAAATTCCTCAAAGTTTTTTTCAGGTTATCTGTCTCCTGTCTGATGATTGAAGGAGGGGAAGCCACTCATCCTCACTGAGTCTATGCGGCAATTTAAAAAAACTTTGAAAACAAAAGCCTGTTTTCCTGCTAGTTGACACAATTCAGAGAGAGCTGCAGGAACCTAGCAAATGATTTCTGTTGTGGAACAAGCCTAACACTAATGAGCATAGATGTATGGTGTAATAGGACCCTGGTTTCCCCACAATAAAATGTGGGGATGTTTGTCTTTTTTGGTAGTCTTCAATAGGATGAGGAGGACTGCAACCACTTCACAAGAAACACTGATGCCTTCACCAAGAAAACCAAGAAGACTGCCTTTCTCCCTCCTGCATTTCAGCAACTAGATTCCCATTATGGAACAATATCAACAGCTGATTTTTTTTTTTTTCTGGGACCATGCTATATGCTTTAGCAGATTGACTTAGTAGAATGGAGGTGATGGTGGTGATAAAAAGTACTGATCTCTCTGCTTGTAATTATTGCTATGTTTTTACCTATTGAGTGCAATTATGTCATGTACACACACACAAACACTATGTACTGTATATGTATATATAAGACAGACCTTAGCAAACCCATCAAGTAAAACACCAGGGAATAATTGCAAAAGACTGGACATGTATATTGTGAGGGTTGAGCTTGTTGGCGTAATATCATCTTACAGAATAGAAGGAATTTGGTTGTCAATAACAATATGTGGACGATACTTGGGTCAAGATGAAAACAAAGGAATTGGAAGTGCTCACCAAATAGATCAACTCTGTGGACAGATACATCAAATTCACATGGGAAGATGTTTTGGAATATAGTCTAGTCTTCCTGGACTGTCACTCACATAGATCAGTATTTACATTTTGATTCCCACTACCCACTGGAGCACAAAATGGGAGTCATCAGAACCCTACATCACCGAGCTGAAGGCCGGCCTGCCAGCAAAGGTTGGAGGGGAAAAGAACTATAATACATCAAGGAAGCCCTCAGAACATGTGGCTATCCCAAGTGAGACTTCATCAAATCTCAAAAAAAGACCCTCCATAACAGACCACGAACAGAACAATAAACAAAGCAATGTTGTCATTCCATATGTTGCAGGAATATCAAAAAAGCTCAGGAGGATCTTCAGCCAACACAACATATGTGCACACTTCAAACCCAAGAATACACTAAGGCAGAAGCTTGTTCACTCCAAGGATAAAACACCCAGACACAAACTGAGCAACATGGTATATGCAGTATGATGCAGTGAGCCATGTGCACATCTGAACATTGGGAAAACAAAACAACCACTTCATAAACGCATGGCACAACATAGGAGAACAAATCCATCATTAGATTCAACAGTCCATCTACATTTAAAACATGTATGCCATCTGGAAAGAGGATGGGCAGGAACTCTTGATGTCAAACCACTCTCCTGGATGAAACCTAGAACATCCAGGATTACATCATTAAGATGGTGCCCAAAGTTGAGCCACTGAGAGAATGTGTGAGTCAACAGCATACATGGGAGGAAGATCAAACAGAAGAAATGCTATGGAAAGACCAGATTCTGTATTGGTTGTATCATCAATAGATAGCTGAGATGGCTAACATTGGGATAACATACCAATGGTTTGAAAGGGCTGAACTAAAAGACAACCCTGAAGTGCTGATCATAGATGCATAAGAACAGACCCTAAGCATCAGATTCATAGAAGCAGGTATTTACCACACTAGATAAGACTAATAAAGAGAACAAACCTAGAAATAAGGAGAAATTTCCTAAGAGTGAGAACAATTAATTTGTGGGAACATCAGTGAGAACATCACTGGAGGTTTTTAAGAAGAGATTGGACAACCATGTCTGAAATGGTATATGGTTTCCTGCTTGAGTAGGGAGCTGGACTAGAAGACTTCCATGGTCTCTTCCAACTCTGTTATTCTGTTATATAGGATCCAAGGTACAGACTGTGCAAGCAGTAAGATGCAAACAGGAACAACATATGCTGAACAGCCCAACCAAGTAGCCGACTTTCCATACAGGAACATCTGCACAGTATATGGGCTACATCCTCCCAAGTCCAGATGGGAGATTCTTCAGAAGGCTGTGGAGAATAAGAGGGTTAAGGTCCTGTGGGACTTCTAGATCCAGATGGACAGACACATACTGACAACCGAATATTGTGGTAATAGACAAGGACCAGAAGACAGTGGTATAATGGATGTAGCCATAACAAGTGACAGCAACATTAAAAAGGAATATGAAAATGCTGAGAAATTAGTTTTTCTTAACTTGAAAAGGAATGATAGGATTAAAATAACAGATTCACCATTTTTTGTAAGATTAGAGAGAATTTTTTTAAAAACGCACAAAAATGGAAGAATTGTCACCCCTGAGAACCCTGGATCAAAATGGCTACAGACCCATTTTTCTTGCACGGTGATTTAATCACATTTGCAGATACATTTTTTTTAATAAAATAGGAATTGATGTAGAAATCCCATGGGCACAATGTTTTCATCTGTGAAATACAAATTATGAACTTAAACAGAATTCCAACAAAAGAAATTAAGAATAAAATACTCTAGAACACAAGGATGATTATGATATTATTTATTCAATGGAGTCCAACTCTTGTTGATTCTATGGGCCAGGCATCTCCACATCTTCCAGTCTTGCTCTATTTCTTTGAGTTTTTCTATGCCCTGGCTGATGTGAGCTTTGATAGTGTTCAGCCACTGTGTTCTTTGACAACCTGGTGTCTTTTTACCGCTAACTCTTTCAAACATAATTGTTTTCTCCAGTGAATTGCCCCACATGACATGGCCAAAATAACTGAGGTGCAGTTTTGTAATTTTGCCTTCTAGTGACATGTCTGGTGTTTTGTGCTTCAGTACTTGCTTGTTAGTGACCTTTGCTGTTCAAGGATTTAGAACACGAATATGTAGTTTGCATATAAATGAAGCAAGAAATAGAATTCTAGTATGCGTCTTTTCTACCAAAATATTAACATTTTTCAACAGTTTTGTTTGTTGGTCAGAGAATATCTTATTTTACAGCCGACTGAAAGAAACCAGAAAAGCCATGTGCTTTGCCAGTGTTTCTTTAGAGGTCCCTTCTCTTTCTAAAGCACACTATGATCTGTACTGTACTTAGTTTCAATTTAGCAGTTGAATGATTTATCCAGTTCTATGGTCCTGTTAAACTCTACTTTGCTTAAAGTTCTCAAGTCACCTTATTTCTAATCTGAGGTTTGACTTTATTTTGATTGTTATTCAATAGGAATTTGATGATATATTCCACATTTTGTATTGTTTATGTTAGAAAAGCATCAGATTCCTTCAGACCAAGGTAAAACATAAAACTGGTTATTTTTGGGTCTGAGCTAATAATTCAAAAAAGTAAAAAAAGAGTAATTTACCTGCAGAGCTACAACTAAAGCCGTGTTATAATTACCATAAATCACGATGTGTCTTTACATTCCAACAACAAATCTATAAAAAAATAGGGAAGTGACAGTATTAATGGTCCTGCTTAATTCTAGATGCTTCAGTAATTTTACAATGAAAGAATATGTTGTGAAGATCAAATCTTCAGTCAAGGTAATTTGATGAGTAGTCTCTGAATCTAAATCTTGATATCTAAATCTAGTTTCTGAACTAGATTTTAAAAATTTAAGAAATGTGTAGAAGGCTTGAATAAGATTAAGGGCTGGATTTGAACCTTGTCTTGTGGTTAAATGCATATGTTTCTATTTGTAAGTGCTTGGAAGTATGACACTGAATTTATTGGGATTAAGTTTTAAGTAGATATTGACAAGTTTGCACTACAAATGCAATGCTGCAGATATATTAATATTTTTTATTTGCCTGGACATTTTCATATGGAGTTTGTTCATAGGCTACTGTCATTTTATTTCCTTCCTGGTGATTTATTTATTCATTGCTACCTATCATTTCCAGTTGCTACTTCAAAACTGCTTGCATCCAGTATCAGTGCAAGATTTGGGGTTAGAGAACAGGAGAAAGGTACCCTTAATCAATCTCCCTTTCTCAGGAGACTCATCTCTTCCTTATTCAGATTTAGTTGCATACTCCCATTGAGTCCAAATATACAAAAGCGTTGAAGGAGACAGCACCAAACAAATAGAGGCTACTGCTTCATCTCTAGGGTTAATAGTGGAACACTTGCAAAAGTTCAGGCTATGATGGATGCCCAATGATCCTCATTCCTGATGTGTGCTCTGCTCTTGGAAATCATCAGATAAAGTTCTTGTCAAACTACAACACTTCAAGCCCTGTAAATGTGAGACGTTCCTCCAATTCCTTATAAATGAACATTGCTAAGTGGGTGCTGATCAGGGTGGCTAAAAACAACTCTGTTACTGTTGTGCCCACAAATTATTCTGTGACAGGAGTATGCATTCCAAGAATGCATGACCTTGTCTTCCACAGGAACAACAATATAGATAGACATTTTCTCTGTACTTTTCACTTGTAAAATAAATTGCCTATCCTGACCACATCTCTTATAATCAAGCAATTCTATTTGCAAGACATAGCCTGCAAAACCTCCTACATTCTAGTAATCCTAGAAATCATCTGGACTAAAAGCTGAACTTTATTTCAGTGCTTGGCAATGGGTAGAATTCCCTTTCACACCTGAAGGCAGTACAGGACAGTTGATGTCATATAAGAACAAAGGGCTAGTTATGAGGTCTGGGTTGGGAAAGAGACAAGACATCTGATTTGTATCCCTGCTAGCAGTTCATTTTATCAACTGTCATCCTTATCTAGGTCACATCCAGCAATGCATCTCTCTATCCCTCTATTTTCTTTGTGTAACAGTAAAGATATTGGCTGTTGCTTCCTGCCCATTTAGAGCTTGTTGTCCGATGATAGCAATCTTCAGTTAGCCTTTGCTATTTGGTGGTATAGTATTTTTTTAAAAAAGAAAGATCCATGCTCATTTTATGCTCAGCTATGGCTACATACAGTATAAACAGCTTAATGATTAGAGACTAAAATACTTAAATTTAACATATTTTTTGTTATTTCACGGATAATTATTTAAATCTTAGTTCCAAATTATGGTGGGAAGCCAATTAAAGCATTGACCCAATGTGTACTTGCTCTACTTTGAAAGGCAAATTCCATGTTGGAGATCATTGGGAAAATAAGCCATCAGCCAACTGATAACAATATCAGTTTAGCCAGGATTCAGTCAGAACTTATCTTCATCCTGGCAGCCTCCTTTACAAGAACTAATCATGACTAATCTTGCTTAGTTTTTCTGAGATCAGCCAAGGTTGGCTAATGAAGCTACCTGCTTTGGACTTACCAGGTAATAGTACAATTCTAAACACAAATTGGCAGTAAGTTGAAATCAGTAAAACTTAATTATATATAATTGTGTTGTTTGCTAAAGAATCATCCATTATTAATAGTCACTCTTACTGTCTCACATTAGCATCTGCTCTGTCCTCAGCACAAGTAGTCTTTCTTTATGAGTTTCCCATTTAAATATTCAACTGCAGCTATAATTTGAATAAAGGATTGTGTTGTTATGCCTCCATTAAATTGAAATATGAAATAATCAATTCATTTTCTCTCTTAACTGATCAGATTAAAAAGAAACAGCAAGAAGTAGTAGGCTTTTTAGAGGCCAACAGAATTGACTTTAAGGAAATGGACATAGCCTGTGATGAAGACAATCGGAAATGGATGAGAGAAAATGTTCCAGGTGAAAAGAAGCCACAAAATGGGATTCCTCTCCCTCCCCAAATATTCAATGAGGAACAGTATTGTGGGGTAAGAAAAAAAAGTTTAATGTAGTTAAAGGGTAATGTGTTTAAGAAATGCACATACTTGCTTACTAAGTTTGTGAGAAAGAGATTTGTTGATCTAAATTAATTTAGGCTCACCAATACTACAATGCAGGATTGTATGCTAACAGTGAAAGATTATGCTAATATGTCAGTCAGATGGATAGTTAAACAAGTGACATTCCACAATCCTGTTTCATAGTTATTTTTCTTTGCTGTATTAGATTGGCTTTCCCAGGAAAAGCCAAAGGAAATCATTAAAACCATAAAAAAGCAAATGTTAAATCCTCCAGGGAAAGATTGAAGGCAAACAAGGTCCAGGCAGAAGAAGAACATTATGGCTTCAAAATCTAAGGGACTGGTTTGGTTAAAATTCAGCCACACTTTTTTGTGCAGCTGTTGATAAAAATAGGATCGCCAACATGATCACCAATGTCCAATGACAGATATGGCACAACAAGAAGAAGAAGATTAGATTGGCTTAATTTGAAAAGCTAAGATCATGTTTATGTGCTTTGTTTCCTTTTTAGGATTTTGATTCTTTTTTCTATGCAAAAGAAGAAAATTATATTTATTCATTCCTAGGACTTGCTCCTCCACCAGGCTCAATGGTATGAATTTATCTTATGGATCTTATTTTTCTTTTGATTTGTCTTGTAAAATTGCTATGCTGTTTTCAAAAATATGAAGCTGCAGTTTCAGATAGCTGGAAGCCACTTTGTTCCACTGCATAGTCCAGCGAGCCCTACATCTCCCAGCTCGCTCTCTCTCTTTTAAAGTGTATGCATTAGACCAGGGCAGGCAATTTATAGGCCCTTTAGGTATTATTAAACCCTAAACTGATTGATCAACAGATATCTGAGAGTATAAACTAAGATCAAGAAACTAGAAAAATATCAAGAAATTTATGAAAAACCAAATAGTTATTCCGTTCCATAAGAAAATGTCCCCTCTCCCTGATACCTTAAAGCAGGAGTGGGGAATGATGGCCATTTTATGACTTGTGGACTTTAACTCCCAGAATTCCTGGGAGCCATGGCTGGCTCAGGAATTCTGGGAGTTAAAGTCCACAAGTCTCATAAAAAGGCCATAGTTCCCCACCTCTGCCTTAAAGGAAAGTAGCATTGACATGTTGTAAGATTATGAAAGGAAGTGAGGGGAAAAGAAAGAGAAAAAGAGTTGGATGGAATATACTGTATTTCCTGATAATCTTTCACCACACTTATGTGCTAAATTAAATTCTCAGAAATTTTCTTTCCCCCCTCTAATGCAATTAATATAATTTGAAACACAGTGATTATATGTGACAGCTACACGTCCTTCAAGGGTAGACTGTCACTTCTGCTGTCAGAATCTTTTCTTAAGGACAATTAATGCATATAGTAGATGCAATTCTACACTTCTATGTAGGGGATTTATATTATATTATATTATATTATATTATATTATATTATATTATATTATATTATATTATATTATATTATTAATTATATTATATTATATTATTTTTTATTATAATATATTATCCTCTACTAAGGGGATAATAAAGGGAAAACAATATTACTTTTCTTTTAAATCAAACAGCAGGAATGCTAAAAACAACTTAAAATCTTTATCATTGAAAAGAAATATGTCATTTTTGAATAAATATCAATGTAGCTATAATGAAAATTTAATTTCTGTGCAGGACAAACTATTCTCTTACATTTGAAAAAGAGTTTTTCATGCAGCTTGCCTCTCAAAACTTATTTCTGGCATCAGTATTCAGTTTGATTAATGCTAATTTACATTCCCTCTTAATCCTAATGAATATAACATTTCTGCACTAGTCTGCATTTGGAATTTCCCTGACTAGTCAAAAGTAGAGATACAGTATTGTAATATTGCATTGTTTTTAAAAATGGTATGCCTACTCAAGGTGTTTTACTAGCAGAGTTACTAATAAATGATGATGACATTATAAAAATGTACATTCTGTAGAAATAGTCAAAATACTTTACATCTCAAAGGGCAGATTTGTCTACTGAGAATAGTTTAATTTAAGGGGTGCAGGTAGCCTGCATCATACACTGCTCAACAGTTCTATCTTTCAAAAAAAAATGAGCAACTGGCCTTGACTTCAATCTCCCCCCAAAATATCATCCATGGATTCCTGGCTAAATTCACATATTACACTAAGCAATAACATAGCTCGTTTGGGTTTGGATCAGAGTGGTGTATAAACCTAATCATTGCTATTTGCAAACCATCATTCATACCTTAGGTGCAAGTATGAATCCAGCCACTCTCTGTCCTTAGCATCTGTTGCCTGAGGCAATATCCTTATTCGATCCAATGAAGTCTATATAAGGATTATCATAACCAAAGAAGTGTATTACCTATCAATGAAGGATGAGATAATGCTTCAGTGTTTTCTATAAGCTATTCTATGTCTTCTATTTGTTTTGATGTTGTGTATTCCAGAAATTCAGATAATAAACAGCAAAAGTTTAGAGAATCAGTAATTGCTCTGGTTTCTGCTGCATTTTTAAGGCATAAGAATGCAACTATATATGCTATCTATCACTGTAGTGCATTCAGGCCACAAAATTGCCTGGCTCACTTACTTGTACCTAGTTTCAAGAAGATTTCAAATATTATTTGTATCCTTTTGCACAGGAAGGGAGGATTACAGAGGAGGTACTGACTGTGCCAAATGGGGATATTTCTGGAGAAGAGATCAAAATTGCGGAGGCAATATATTTTTTACTTTTCTATAGCAAAAAATATTTAAACTTCTCTGTATATGCATGCACGTCTGTGGTGAATTTAGTTTCAAACCACCAGAATTCTTAAGTCATAGGTTTTATCTGCCTGTTATCTACAAAGGCTATTATGGTCGCAAAGATGTGAAAGATCCGTTCCAGTCAGGCTTCAGGCCTGGGTATAGCACGGAAACGCCATTGGTCGCATTGGTTGATGATCTCTGGAGGGCTCAGGACAGGGCTGTTCCTCTGTCCTGGTCCTATTAAATCTCTCAGTGGCTTTTGATACCATTGACCATGGTATCATGCTGCGCCGGTTGGAGGGGTTAGGGGTGGGGGGGCACCGTGTTACGGTCGTTCTCCTTCCTTTCTGACCGTATGCAGTCTGTGTTGACGGGGGAAGAGGTCAACCCCGAGGCACCTAGTTTGTGGGGTGCTGCAGGGGTCGGTCCTCTCGCCCCTCCTGTTCAATATTTATGTGAAGCCGCTGGGTGAGATCATCCGTGGCTTCGGGATGGATTTCCATCAGTACGTTGATGACATTCAGCTGTACATTTCCACCCCGGACCACCCCAATGATGCCCTTGAAGTGATGACCCGGTGCCTGGAGGCCGTACGGATCTGGATGGGGAGAAACAAGCTCAGGCTCAACCCGTCCAAGACCGAGTGGCTGTGGTTTCCGGCATCCCGTCATAGTCAGTTGGCTCCATCACTGACTATAGGGGATGAGACCTTGCCCCCCACAGAGGGGGTTCGCAACTTGGGTGTCCTCCTGGATTCACAGCTGTCTTTAGAAGACCATCTGACAGCTGTGGCCAGGGGGGCTTTTTATCAGGTTCACCTGATCCGCCAGTTGCGTCCCTTTCTGGACCGAGACGCTTTGCGCACAGTCACTCACGCCCTCATCACTTCCCGTCTGGACTACTGTAATGCTCTCTACATGGGGCTCCCCTTGAAGAGCACCCGGAGGCTCCAGCTGGTCCAGAATGTGGCCGCGCGGGTGATTATGGGGGCGACTCGGTGCTCCCATGTAATACCGCTCCTGTGCGAGCTGCACTGGCTCCCAGTGGTCTTCTGGGTGTGATTCAAGGTGTTGGTTGCCACGACTTCCGGTGGCTCCGCGTTCCCCGAATGGACGCTCCTTTAAGAGCTCCAGCCCCGTGATTCCGTTTGCCGCTAGAACAGCTAGCAGCTGTTCTAGCGGCTCGAAACTCTCCCCCAGGGAAAAAGGGGGAGAGAAGAGCAGAAGGGTCTGGGTAGAGCTCCCCTAGACCCCCAGGCTTTTTTTTTTTAAGCCTGGGGTTTGCAGGGTGAGAGCTCCCTGAAAGCCCTTCAGTGCTCCGGATCCGGGACGATTCTGCTTTATGCAGAACAAGGGGTCGCGACCACACCAGCAGAGCAATTTTAAGGATTATGAGAAAATTTGAACCTGGACGCTGGCAGAGCAAAATCAGGAGAACAGAAAATGCAAGTACTAAACTTGAACTCTGTTTAAAAGAAAAAGAAAAAAGATGGCGCTTAAGGGCGTTAAAATGAAACTTACTAGTGAAAGTGATCGTTAAAGCTGCAACATTGTAAAAGCTACTGGATTACGCGGCAAGAAAAAGATTTAAACTGCTAGTGGAATGAAAAAGACTATGGTACTGACCCCAACTACTTTATACTTCTAAATTGTGGGGGAAATTATTGGACTTATTGACCTGACAGCTGAATAAATTTAAAGTGGAAATTGAAATATGGCTGACATTAAGGATGAAGGATCATTATTATATGAGACAGCAAATTCACAAGTTGTGACTGTAAAGGTTTTACAAGAACTCTTAAATTTTTATACTTCTGTTATATTGGAATCAGTTGAAAGGACTATTCAAAATTATAATCTGGAGAACAACAATGATTTGCTGGCTGGAAAAAAGGAAGAAAATCAAGCTATTTCGACTTTGGAGCAGGAAAAAGAGGCTGTCAGGATCACGATGGAAGTTAGCACACTGAAAACAGAGGTTTTGGCAGAAGCTTCTATGCAGTTAACTGAAAAGCAGCAAATAGACTCTTTCCTGCAGACTGATAAACTTTATCGTGACAATTTTTGGCTTGATAGACAGAATCAATTTTCAAGGAAGGAAGTGACTGATTATATAAGCAGGAAGAGTTGAAATGGAGGTTTCAAATTGAAGGAGATAACTTTTAGAAGAGAATGATTTCCAAAGATGCATCAGCCTCAAATCTATATTCAAAAATTTTCCAAAATAAAAGCAGGGGGAAGACCAATGTTGAAGAAGAAAGTACTATTGAAGAAGAAGGACTGGAAAAAATATAGAAAGAAAGGAAGAATTGAAGATTAGTTTCTTTTGGGGAGGATTTTAATAATAAATTTGAAAAGTTTACTGAAATTAGTATTTTTTAAGTTTAAGTAAAAATGTTTAACTAAAAATGGATAGCTTTTTAAAAAAAATTATCGAGGTATTAAAATGCTTAACTTTAAACTTAATTGATAACTTTCTGAAAGTTTTGAAATTGATATTTTGAAGAATGAACTCAAGAGTTAGAAATAATTTAACTCAATGGATTATTAGTATTTTTAAGATTATATGGATAGCCTTTTGGAGGAAGGAGAAAAAGAAAAAAAGAAAAAAGAGTTTTGAAACTTATATCTTGAAGAATGTCTTATTAAACGTATTAAGAGATTTTAAAAGGTTTAACTTAAAATAATATTTTTTTTCTTTTCTTTTAAAAAGATATGCTTTAAAGAAAGTTTTAAAATGTTTAATTTAGAATTTTAAAAGGGGAGGCTGATGAATAATTTTTAAAGGAGTTAAAGAGTGTGAGGGATTTTGAATTTTGTAGTAAGTTAGTATATTTTAGCTTATGCTTGTTTAATGTTACACCCTGTTTTTGCTCTGGGAAGTCGGGGGTGGGGGAGGGGAGAGGGGGTTGAAGGTTGTTGGGGATAAAATTGTTGTTTAATTTTTAATAAAACTAAAAGATAGATAAATGTATTAATAGAGAAGTAAGAAATGTGGGGGAAATGTCATAATAAAGGAAATGATAATATTAAGATATGATAAATATTGGAGTAAAAAGAAGATACAAAAGATGTATTCAGAAGATATATTGAATGATTGATTATGTATTGTTTATTTATAAAATAAAAACTTTTAATGAGAAAAAAAAAGGTGTTGGTTGCCACCTTTAAAGCGCTCCATGGCATAGGACCTGGATATTTACGAGACTGCCTTCTGCCTCCGATAGCCTCCCACTGACCAGTACGCTCCCACAGAAAGGGTCTCCTCAGGGTGCCGTCGGTTAGACAGTGTCGACTGGCGACCCCCAGGGGGAGAGCCTTCTCTGGAACGAGCTGCCCCTTGAGATTCGTTGGATTTCCGACCTCCGTACTTTTGCCGCGCCCTTAAAACGCTATTATTCCATCAAGCAGGGCTGGCCTAAAATTTTATGGGAATGGGTTATTTTATTTTAGATGATTGGCCAAACTATTTAATAATTTTAAATTGTTTTTAACTTTTATATTGTTGGTTTTTATTTTAGCTGTACACCGCCCTGAGTCCTTCGGGAGAAGGGCGGTATAAAAATTTAATAATGAATGAATGAATGAATGAATGAATGAATGAATGAATGAATGATACCTGGTTGCCAGTGAAATTCTTCTACTTGCATGCAGAGGTATAGGATACTTATGTATATTGCAGAACTGGGGTGGTGTTCTTGTTCAGTCCCCGTCTCACACACGCACACCAGCAGTCGACCAAGAGTTAAAATAAACCAGCAGACAAGAATTTCCTTTGATAGCAGAATTGGCAGCAACCCAGTGGCTGCTTGCTAAAAGTTTTTACTTACAAAGGGAGGTTTATCTCCTCCGAAAACATCAAAGTAAGTCCACAAAAGCCAAAGAATAGTCAAGTCCAGTCCAAGAATCCATCCAAGCAGAGCATATAACAAAGTTCCAGAGATGCAGAATGACTTGCTAGCTTTCAGTTTTGTCCGTCACAAAGCCTGAATGGCCACCACACCCCCTTTTATCCCTTGTGGGGTGTGGTCCAGTGACTCAGCTTAATCTCTGGCACGCCTCCTTCTCTGCTGCGCACACTTGTCTTTCCGACGCTGTCAGGGATCCAGCCAAGACTTATCTCCGTCGCTGTCTAACTGCGGCTGTTCAGAAGTGCCTGGCTCCTGGCCTATCTCTTCTCCTTCAGAAGACAGCTGAGGCATTGTCAGAGAGGAAGGTCCTGGAGAGGGAGGCCTTGCCAACTCCTTTCCTTCACTTTCGGAGTCTTCTTCCTCCGATAAGACGGGCTCGGGGGTCGGAGTCACAACAGTTCTAATCTTCTCAGATTAAGCACAGAACTTTGAATAAGAATAGAACGGAACAGAATACTTTATTGGTCAAATGTAATCGGACACACAAGGAATTTGTCTTCAGCGCAAAAGCTCACAGTGTACATATAGTTGTACTTATGAGCAGTTCTAGGCAGGCCAGATGCCAGACCAGTGGAGATCCAAATCACAACTACAATTTCATACTCAGGCTTTCAAGTTAAGTGTAGGAAGTCAGAAGACACAGCTAGCTCATGAGTGCAATATCAAGGGTGGGTGAAAAGCATGCTCCCAGATCTGCCAATATATTTGTGTGGCCTATTCATCAGCAAGACATGAATAAGGCTTCTGTTTGAGCCTGACAGCTCTCCAGGATGAGTCAGAATGCTGCTTCAGATATAATGTACTCCCATTATGTGAACAGAAAAATATGAGTTTGCAGACCTAACCATATTAAATTTGAAATAGCATGCCTGATTGAATCACAAAAATAGCCATGTTAATCTATGAATGTGTATGTCTAACCAATGTAATATGAAAGAGTATGCAAACTCAGAACATAAAGGTAGATATCACTCAATTATGCCTTTAAAAATTCAAGTGACCAAATCAGATTATTTAAAATCATTATAAGGATCATCATTGAGTCATGTGATTCCAGTTCCATAAGGCTTATTAGAGATAAGAATTGAGAAATTCATTCAAATTGCTTATTTAGTCTTTTTGCTCTAAGTTTCTAATATTACTCATGTTCTTGCCAGGAGACTGAAAAATGTTCAGTTACTGAAGAAAATGAGATACAAGCAGAAGATGAGGTTGGGGCCCCGCCTGAGACTGAGGGTGAAGCTGAGGCTGAGACTACTGAAGCACAGGTTATTTTCTTTCTTTTGTAGTTTTATTCAAAACTTTTCTCAATCAATTTTATTCCTCTACATTTTGCGCAGGAAGGGAGTCTTTGAATATTTATAAATGTGACCTGCAGCAAGATGGCTGCTGCAGAATTCAGTCTGTCCATTTTCTCTCCCTACTTGTTTGCCCTCAGCATTCCTATACTCATGCACCAGAAACTGATTTTGGTGGTTCAGCTCCCCTTTCTTCTAAATAAATATTTTCTAAATGTTGGATTTCCACTAAACCTGCTGATACCTGGCTGTTCTTCATGTGTGGTGTTATCTTAACTCCATACGCTATTACAGAGGTAGTCTTCAGCTTGCAACCACAATTGGAACCTGAATTTTTGTTGCTAAGCAAGGCAGTTGTTAAGTGACACCCAATTTTGCAACCTTTTCTGCCATGGTTATTAAGTGAATCACTGAAGTTGTTAAGTGAATCATGCAGTTGTTAAGTGAACCTGGCTTCCCCCATTGACTTTGCTTGTTGGAAACCAGGTGAGAAGATCACAAATGGTGATTACATGATCCATGGATGCTGCAACTTTTGAAAATGCATGCTAGTTGTCAAGCACCCAAATTTTGATCATGTGACCGTGAGGATGCTGCAATAGTCATAAGTGTGAGGACCAGTTTTAAGTTACTTAAAACTGTTTTAAAGCTGTTTTAACTTTAAACAATTGCTAAACAAACAATTGTAAATTGAAGATTACCTGGATTAAGAGCCCAACTAGAGCTAATACATCTTCTTTTGCCCAATTTTCACTTCAACCAAGCACAGTTAGACAGCCTTGTTTGGATTCAGCAGAATGCATGAGAATTTGAGGCAGCTCCAAGTTTTTTTGTGCACCAAATTCACATTTTTGTGACCCTTGGAATCCTCTTTGAATATATTTCTTAAAAACTAGAAGTACAATGCCCTGCAATTTTGAAATTTAAACCCTAAAACAGATATAAAATTGTTAAAAAGAAATCTGCTTCACCCACAGGTGAAGTCTCCTTCAGGATTCTCCCAAAAATCAAGTGTTTTTTGGACTTTGCTCTTCATGACTTCAATGCATGCAGTTGGGAGATGCAATATGAAACTGTACCTTATCATACACAGTCCCATTCCTTACATAATTCCAAGTCTCATATGTCCAGACAAATGACTGATAAGGGCTGATAAGTAATCATTCCTTCTGGAGGAACAAAAATAAGCCCCTTTATTGTAGTTCTAAGTTGAAATTGGTTGCAGTGCAAGGAGCATGTTGCAACAAAAACAATAGTGTTCCTGGCATTGTTGCAGGCATAACATTTTTAAAAATCACATACCCTCTATCCCTTATTTCCTTATGTTTAAATTCATTTCCAGTTTAACTCAAATTAAGCATTACATGACAGTTAACAAGGCTGTTGTCAAGAATTGGCTTGGCAGAGTTACACTGCAAATACCAATACTGTTGCTGTTCCTCTTGCCTCTTCTATGTGCTAGTCCCCTATCAACCAAGCCTGGGTAAACAAGTAAGCAACAGAAGTCCTGTGGCCCTTGATCTCCTTCCCCAGAAATGGTAATGGGGAAGCTTAGAAGCAGAACAAAACAAGAAGAAAGAGAAGGCTAAGATTTACAATAATTGGCACAGGATTAACCAAAACTCTGCCTAGATAAGCCAAATTTTGTGCCCTGTACATGCAGATGGAACCAATATTTAAACTTCATTCATACAGTATATCAGTGTCTTTTAACAAGAAGTGGAGAATAATAACCTGTCCCATAACTTCTGATTTCTTCTCCAGTTAGATGGTTGATTTTCAAACCTGTCTTTTCAACGAACTTTTTTTTTTTTTAAGAAATCTGATGTTCACCAAATGCTGAATTCTGTAGCCAGCAACAAATCCTATGCTATGCAATTGGAGTGTTAATAAATATAGGCAATGCTGATGTTTTCACTGTGGTAATAAGAATAACATATGTATCTCCATGGTAGTGTTTGTTGTCGGTTTTTGGCTTTCTTTTTAAATCTCTTTTTAAAAATAGTCTTTCATGGTCTGTTTCAGGGACAAGATGAAGAGCAGCCAGCAACAGAAGTACAGTAACAAATTTGAATGCCTTATTTCACATGCATTTTTCCTCTATGTTCATTGCTTTTAAATATATTTAAAATATACCATGACAGCTATTTTTCTTTCAAATTAACTTTGGGAATATAACTGTTAGGATTGAACTCTAACAAGCAACATTTGCATTCAAATCTCATCATCCTTCACCACAAATAATTCATTCTCCAATCCTGTCCTAATGAAGTTAAATAATTTCTCCAATCTTGTCCTAATGAAATCATTTGTTGATTAGGGAACCAATGTTAAACTGAAGTTAGCATTTCAATTGTAGTTGTATTTTATACAACTATTTTATTTTTATACAACTATTGTATTATATTTATTTATTATTTATATAGCCACCCAACTCATGTCTATGTAAATCTATTTTAAATCTGTCTTGGGCCAAATTGTTAAATTCGGTTTTACTTTGCTTTTAAATTTTGTATTTATGTGTTTTATCTTGTGGCTGTTCATCGCCCTGAGTCCTTCGGGAGTAGGGCGGTATATAAATCAAATGAAATGAAAATGAAATGAAATGAAATGTAGATAATCTATGTAGATCACTTGCTCTAATGTGTTCTAGAGCTATTCTTCCAACGTAGTAAGTATAACTCTATGCTGATGAGATTTCTTATGATTGCCTAGTTAAATAGTAAGGCATGAAAGTCAAAGGAGTTATTCTAAACAACTCTTTGTACTTAAGTGTATGCATAAATGTGTATAGACTACTGTAGAAAATTAAGTTGGTTGACTTTTTGTACTAAGAAAAATATCTGTGTTCTCATTTAGTCAGTAGGATTGATTACTTATATCTTTATGCGTTTATGTAAAGAAACTTAATATTCATAAAAATGCACAAGCATTTTTCTTAAAGTTTACATTTTTATTTAACAAAATGAAATTTGCTGGCAATACATTATAATCGCATATGATATATGCTATGTTCAAATGAAGGAATTCCTTCTTACTCACAATTTAGGTCAGTATTAGAGGCCAAGAGTACTAGACTTGATTACTTTTAAATCAGTATGAACTTTGCATTGTAGCATAAGCCTCTTTTTTTGTTCCAAGAGAAAATATGCACATTTGACGTTACAGAAGTTTCTTTTAGCTCCATTGTTTGACTATTCTTCCATTATTTTGTGTAACAAAAGGAAGTAGAAGCAGCAGAGGAGGAAGAAGAGGAAAAAATGGAAGAAAAAGAAGAAAAAGAAGGGGAAGGGGAAGAAGAAGAGGAAGAAGAAGAGGAATCTTAGTACATTTGTTTGCTACTTTTTCTTCAGCAGATGTTTCAGGTAAATAACAGAGTGGCGCAGTGGCCTCGAGGTGGAGCTCTCACCTCACAATCAGGAGGCTGTGAGTTCGATCCTAGGTAGAGGCAGATATTTCTCTCCCTGGGCACACGGAGAATATATCTGCTGAACAAATCTCCACATTGGCGACAGGAAGGGCATCTGGCCATTCTGCTAGCTCCATTTAGTTGCCCAGACTCCACCCCGCAAGGGATTATGGGATAGTTAAATGACGATGATGATGTTTCAGGTAAATATAACAATAGCAATAGCACTTAGACTTATATCCCACCCCATAGTGCTTTACAACATTCTCTGGGTGGTTTAAGTATACTGCCCCCAACAATCTGGGTCCACATTTTACTTACTTCAGAAGGCTGGACGGCTGAGTTAACCTTCAGGCCCATCAGGATCAAACTCCAGGCTGTGGACAGAGTTTGCTTGCAAAACTGCATTCTAACTATTGTGCCACCAGGGCTCAAATCATAAATATGCTGATAGCAATTGATTTCTGTTTCTGTGATACCCTAATTACCTCAATTTTCTTAATTGAAAAAGCAAACAAAAATACCTGTAAAATCTGAATAATTGCCATCATTCTTGTTTTAATAAAATCAAATAAAGAAAAATCGTTTCCCAATTAAAAAATGAGGGGTATTTCTTGGCATTTCATCATCATCATTGCCTTCCTAAAGTTATTCCTACAGTGGCAGGGTCTGATTTTCATGTCTGCATTTATTGTGTCTTGCCATCTTTGCTTCGGTCTTCCACATGGGCACTATTTCTTGGCATTTGACTTATTAAGTTATTATTAAGCCATACATAATGCTTAGCTCACAAATAATGCTATGATTGATTTTGGCTTAATGTGTATGAACCACTTACTGTGATTTTTACATCAAGGGTTACAGTTTAGCTATATATGAAAACATTTCACAATTGTTTGTCAAATAGTATTGAGGGTACTATTGAGAAAAATCCTGTTGAAAAGGAAAACTGGGAATCCGGAAAAAAAAAACCCAGTTCAATTTTGTTTGAGAAGGACAGCCTTTTTGCAACTTTGCATCTTTGTGGATTGCTAACAAGCTTAGATAGAGCACAAAAAGAAACGGGTAAACCAAGTTAACAAATCATAGTTTAAAAAGTCAGAATTGACAGCATCAATCTATGCCTTCCAGTTGGAGATTGGTTGCTAACAAAAACATGTTTTCTTGCTTAACCTGGAATCAGCTATTAAAAAGAGCAAAGGAACATATAAGCAAATTAATTCTAAATAATATTATCTCTGAACCATATTATTTTGTGTAACTTTGAATGTATTTTCACTATAGGAACTGGGAACTGACGATATCACTGCAGAGTGAAGACAACAATCACTTTCCCTCCACAAAAACATTACTGTTTTTCTACGCAACTCCAGATATCAGCACAGATATAATTTGAGACATTAAGCAGCTCCAAATGTGAACTTTCTACATAAATTTTGTTGCTTTGGTGTATATATACAGTTGTTTCTTCTATTCTGCCTTGGAGTCCAGTGGGGCTTCAGATCTTGATGATCAACAAGCATTATGAGATTGGCTTTAGGATATGTAGTTCCTCTGAGCAGGGATTAGTTCAGACTCCATATTGGTTTCCTGAAAGGTACATACTAGAATGGCCAGGCCGTTCTCCAGTGGAAAACCCCAAAGAATGTTTTCAATGTATGTGCCACATTTTGCTGATCTCTTAAATAGCCGTATAATATACAGCAACTGAAATAAACCCATTTCATGCCAATGGTCTGCTTGTGCTTGTACAAGCATTCATTTGTCAATGTCAGTCACAAAATAAGACAACTAAAAATCATTATTTTTTTCTTCCCTTACAAAAAGTATTATGTGGTAATCTCTACTTCCCCTTCTATTTTTTTTGCCAGTTTTACACTAACTTACATTTTCTTATTATAACTCCACTTTTAATAGAGGCAGGCCTTTTCAAAAGATACTAATCACTGTATCAGTGTAAGTGAATAAGCTGGAATATTAGGCTTCCATTCTGTTAATGACATATATATAAACTCAAAAAATCTGAAGATAATTGATGGAGAACCAAACCGTCTAACCCATTCTCTTGCAATCCTTGATTTGCTTTGAGGGAAGCTATGGACATTAATGGAAAACCCATTGGTAAATAAACTAGTAATAACACCATAAATAAATTAATTGCAACCCCCCCTCCCCCAGCACTATGCGATTACAATAAGGACGGGCATAGGAAAAGTTAATCAAATATTTGATTTTTGCAATTTAGTGACTTTAGTCACATCAGATGAGGTGCCGGGAGGATCAAAATAGAAAGTATGCTGGAGATCCATAGACTCTTGTTAATTTTAATAACACACTATTAATTTAGTGCTAAAGGGACCTTAAATTGAGCTTGTCTCCTGATGAACATATGTAGTTTTCTTGATAGTGTTATGGAAATAATTTGCCACTGTTTTCTTCTGGGATGATTTTTCCACTTTCCAATCTAGCCTATCTCTGAAATACTCTTATGTAGCTAGCTATTCAGGTGCTAGTTAGACTAACCTCACTTGCCTTCTAAGATCAGCCAAAGTCTTCCTCCAGCAGGGTAATGGTCAAAGTATTGGAATTAGGCTAGGGAGACTCAAGTTCAAGTTCCTGATTAGCCCATTTCTCAGGCTAGGAATTTCTCACAAAGTTACTGTAAGGATGAAATTAGGGGAGACTAGTTAAATATTTAATACTCATCACAACAAAGGACTTGGGGTGCTCCTTTGGTTGAAGGTTAATTGGAAATGAGAAAGAAAAGGGTTAGAAATATTATTTCCCCATATAGTCATTCTATTTGAATTATGCCTTCGTAATTTGGGAGTGATTGGGGGAGGGGAAAAGAAGTTGAAAATGAAACAGTAAAAAAAGAAAGAGGTAGCCCATCCAAATCCGTGTGCTGCATTACTTATCTTGATTTTGCTTACTGATTTGAGAATAAGTGAAAAGAAATAGAGCAGCAACGTACTGTAATGAACTCTCCATGTAGTTTCTCTTTTAGCCATTGGGAGTCATTGTAGTCATCGGGACATACCCAGAATGTATAATTTCCCTAGCAAAAGAATCTTATTAGATTGAAAGCAATCAGAACTGCTGCTGTTTACATCAGGAGCTGAATAAGCACAATTATTCTAACATCTATACACTCTCTGTAATTAGCTTAATAAATTGTTGAAAAAATGTGAAGGAATATTGAAATTGCTGTAGGACTGCTTATATACATTAAGGGTGCAGGAACTGTTGTTGCCCCAATGTTGGTGAATTGCAGCTGCCATTAGCCATGCTGGCTGGAGCTGTTGGAGTCGTAGTTCATCAACATCTGGAGACCTATAGATTTCCACTCTGCTAGAGACACAGTTTTAGGGTTTTACCTATTAAACTTCAAATACATCACCTACCCACCAACCAGCTTCTAAACTAGTCTCTTTCTGGAGGGATGTGCATTAGCCTGTTTTTGAGTGAAGGTTTAATTAGCAAGCCCATTACCTGTAATGATTGCACCTTATGTTACTTATTTATCCCCCTCCCCTTTGTATCATGTAAAAGCTGCTAGAAATCTCAGTGTACTTAAAAAGAATTTTTCTACCCATCTGCCTCTGTTTTTGTTTATTTCATATGTCAGATTTGTGAAAGAAAAATATTAAGGGGATTTTTCTAATGGAAAGCACTAAATTTATTCACATTTCAAGGAAATTTAAAATGTAACCATTTGAAAACTATAATAACCTAAAATAGTTGTTATTTCAGTGCCTAGGCCTTTTAAAACTTCTCCGGATTTTTTAAAACAGTAGAATGCCCTGGAGAATGTTGCTGGAGTACACAAAAGAGCAAAGGAAATATACTTATGTAAACATTCTTCATCATCTCATGTCTTCAAAGAGTTGGGAATGAAGTTCCTAAAATTCCCAATTACAAAATTCTGGAATTCTAGTTCCAAGTGGTGAGAGCACCAGATTGGGGGGAAATTGTTTTAGAAATAGAGTTATCCCTATAATTCACTTTTTTGGAAATCTAAATATACCAAGGTTCTTTTATCCCCATATTCATCAGTATTCTGTAACTTCAGGGAAATAAGTTTATCATGATATAATAAACAAAGAAGAGCAAAATAAAAATAATGCTGTGACATTACCGTTACCATACTTGCTATTAGAATCATTAAAGCCATGTTGCTAGATGCATGGACTAGCACTGGAGAATCGGAAATGCATAGTTTTCAAAGGACAGGATCTAAAGAACTACTTTGGCCATGCCTTCTCAGAATCCCCTTGAACAGGAGCATTCATCAATGTGGTTTTAAAAATTAGGCGTTGAAGTCATTGTAGTTCCAATACAATAGCTCATTGCTATTGTTTTGCCCTTTCTTTTGAAAATGATTCCATAAAGTTGTACATTTGGTATGTGTAGTATCTGGAGGATGCCGTCTTACTTTATTCATTTAAAGGCAGTGGTTGGTATAGAGGAGTAGGAGGAGATTAGCCACCATCACAACACACAATTCAGTAAAGAACTGTGACATTTATGCAATCACACTAGACAAATCTGAACCCCACTTAAGGTGCATTATTCTCCCAAATATTTAATTTGTTGTTAGTTGCGAAGTCGTGTCCGACCCATCACAACCCCATGGACAACATTCCTCCAGGCCTTCCTGTCCTCTACCATCCTCTAGAGTCCATTTAAGCTCACACCGACTGATTCAGTGACTCCAGCCACCTCGTTTTCTGTCATCCCCTTCTTCTTTTGCCCTCAAACTTTCCCAGCATACACACTTTTGTTAGCAGGGTGATGTATCTGCTTTTTAGTATGCTGTCTAGATTTGCCATAGCTTTCCTCCCCAGGCGCAAGCGTCTTTTAATTTCTTGGCTGCAGTCCCCATCTGCAGTGATCTTGGAGCCCAGGAAAATAAAATCTGTCACTACTTCCATTGCTTCCCCATCTTTTTGCCAGGAATTGAGAGGGCCAGATGCCATGATCTTAGATTTCTTAATGTTGAGTTTTAAGCCAACTTTTGCACTCTCCTCCTTCACCCACATCAAGAGGCTCTTTAGTTCCTCTTCGCTTTCTGCCATTAGAGTGGTATCTGCATATCTAAGGTTGTTGATATTTCTCCTGGCAATCTTAATTGCAATTTTTGATTCATCTAGCCCCACCTTTCTCATGATGTGCTCTGCATATAAGTTAAATAGGCAGGGTGACAGTATACAGCCTTGCCAGACTCCTTTCCCAATTTTGAACCAATCAGAGGTTCCGTGTCCAGTTCTCACTGTTGCTTCTTGACCTGCATATAGGTTTCTTAAGAGACACATAAAATGGTCTGGTACCCCCATCTCTTTAAGAACTTGCCACAATTTGTTGTGGTCCACACAATCAAAGACTTTAGCATAGTCAATGAAGCAGAAGTAGATGTTTTTCTGGAACTCCCTAGTTTTCTCCATGATCCAGCGTATGTTGGTAATTTGATCTCTAGTTCCTATGCCTCTTCGAAATCCTGCCTGTACGTCTGTTAGTTCTCGATCCACATACTGCTGGAGCCTATCTTTTAGGATTTTAAGCATAATCTTACGAGCATGTGAAATGAGTGCAATGGTGTGATAGTTTGAACATTCTATGGCATTGCCTTTCTTTGGAATTGGAATGTAAACTAACCTTTTCCAATCCTGTGGCCACTGTTGATTTTTCCAAATTTGCTGGCAAATTGAATGCAGCACTTTTACTGCATCGTCTTTTAAGATTTTGAATAGCTCAGCTGGAATACTGTCACCTCCTCTAGCTTTGTTGTTGCTCAGATTTCCTAAAGCCCATTTGACTTCACATTCTAGGATGTCTGGCTCGAGGTCAGTGACTACCCCATCGTGGTTCTCAGAGACGTTAAGCTCGTTCTTGTATAGTTCTTCTGTGTAATTTTGCTACCTCTTCTTAATCTCTTCTGCTTCTGTTAGGTCCCTGTCATTTTGGTTCTTTATCATGCCCATCTTTGCATGAAACGTTCCCTTCATATCTCCAATTTTCTTGAAGAGATCTCTGGTCCTCCCTATTCTATTGTTTTCTTCTGTTTCTTTGCACTGTTCATTTAAGAAGGTATTATTATCTCTTCTAGCTATTTTCTGGAATTCTGCATTCAATTGGGTGTATCTTTCTCTTTTTCCCTTGCCTTTCGCTTCCCTTCTTTCCTCAGCTATTTGCAAAGCTTCCTCAGACAGCCATTTTGCTTTCTTGCCTTTCTTTTTCTTTGGGATGGTTTTAATTGCTACCTCTTGTACAATGTTGCAAACCTCCGTCCATAGTTCTTCAGGCACTCTTGTCTATCAGATCTAATTCCTTAAATCTATTTGTCACCTCTACTGTATATTCATCAGGGATATGATTTAGTTCATACCTGAGTGGTCTAGTGCTTTTCCCTACTTTCTTTAATTTAAGCCTAAATTTTGCCACAAGAAGCTCATGATCTGAGCCACAGTCAGCTCCTGGTCTTGTTTTTACTGACTGTATAGAGCTGCTCCATCTTTGGCTGCAGAGCACATAGTCAATCTGATTTCTGTGTTGAACGTCTGATGATGTCCATGTGTACAGTTGTCTCTTGGGTTGTTGGAAAAGAGTGTTTGCTATGACTATCGTATTCTCTTGGCAAAATTCTATCAGCCTGTGCCCTGCTTCATTTTGTACTCCAAGGTCAAACTTGCCTGTTATTCTGGTTATCTTTTGGCTTCCTACTTTAGGATTCCAATC